TGTCGCCCGCGACGGCGGGGCTGGGATGGGACCTGGAGCGGGGAGCTCTGAGCCGGGAGCGGGACGGCAGCAGCCCCGTGCCCCCCCCAGCGCCCTCCTGCCCCGAGTGCGATCGGGGACCGAGGCCGGTGGGATGGAGCCGTTCCCCCCCCCCGGGCGCAGCTCGCTCTCCCCTCCGAGCTCTTGAGCTCGTCAAAGCGCTGAACAAAGCCAACAGCACTCCAAGGCGTCTCGGAGCTCAAGGACTCGCTGAGTGCATTAAGTGGTTTAATATCGTGGCTGGAGGAGTGGGGGGAGGCAGTGCCACATGTCACGCATTTCACAAGCACCTGGTGGGGACAGCGCTAGGCCCAGGTGGCACCGGGGGCACCAGGGGCAAAACGTCAGAAGGATCCATGGAGCATCACTGCAGGCCCCGGTGCTGCGGGGAGGCAGGAGGGGGGCAGGAGACTCAAACCAGTGTCATCGGCCCCAGTCCAGGTACTGTATGGATTTATAACCTTGGGGACAAGGATGCACCGAGCAGGACGGTGGCACAGATGGGGGCCAGCAGCTATTCCTCCCTGGTTGCTGCCCCGTGGATGCCATCAGGCTGCAAGGACAGCACCGTCATCCCACAGTGGTACAGGGCTGGGAATAATCACCAGAAAGGAGAGCCTGGCTTGGTGAGCTCCTTCAGCAGGAGCTGCTGCAGCCAGGCAGCGACTGTGAGCAGTGGGAGGTCTCAGCTCCCTCTGCATCCTGACTCCCAGCTGATAAAAAGAGAAGGACAGCTGTGCTGAGCCAGACCAAGGGCCAGCAGCCAGCTCTGCCAGCACCTGTGAAAGGTGGCAGGAGAGAAGGTCCCCAGGGCCTGGGGGAACAACCCTCCTCCCTCTCTGGAAGCGAATTGCCCTGCCCTCTCCCTGCACCCCCTGGTTTTGCCGCATGCCCCTCCGCCCGCTGTGCCCAGGCCTCTCCCAGCAGCGAGTGGGCGCTCCCTGGCAGGGCTAGCGCTCTGATTTATGGAGTTTCTTGGCACATTGCTCTGCCTGGCTGGGAGCAGTGGCTCTGAACAACTGTAGACCCTTACCAGGAGCGGGCCCCTCGGCATGGCTGCCTCTCACTGGCCACGGGAGTGGACCTGGGAAAAGCTGCTGGGACCCTCCAAATGAGGCGTGTGAGGAGCAGGAACCAGCCAGGACCTGGAGGGATCTGGGCAGGGATGTCTCAGGGGCAGCGGTGGGGAAGGGGGATGGTGGTGTCCTGGCTGGACCCTGGGCTCTGCACAGCAGGGTGCTGAGTCCTGGGTCCTGTGGCAGGGAAGAGGGCGGATGGAGCCCCAGAGAGGAGGATGAGGCTCACGGGAAGGGGAAGCTGGTGAACAAAAGGCTGGTGTTTGCCTTTCCTCCACCCTGCACAACGGTGGGTAAACAAGGTGCAGAAATGGTTGAGGTCCCTTGAGATAACAAAGAACGCTGGAGCTGGGCCAGCCCTGCCTGCTCGGCTTGGGACCAGCCGTCTCTGGGGCATGGAGGGGAGCAGGGTGCTCAGAGCTGCCTGCTGCCTGCACTGAGCTTGTCTGGGCACAGCTCAAGGCAGGGCTTCCAGGTTTGAGGCAGAAGACGAGCTGCAGTGGTCGGGCAGAGATGCTGAGGTCCCGAATGCCCCAGTTCCCAGTGAAGGGACAGCAGGAGAGACCCAGCGCTCACGGCAGGAGCTGGCACGGGCGCTTGCATCTCCAGCACCTCAGGAGCATGGGCTGTGCCAGAGGCATCCCTTCCTGGCAGCGCAGGCAGGGGCTGCAGCCAGCCCTGCTGCCAGCATGGTGCTGCCAGAGACCAGCGCTCACCTGTGGCACTGCGCTGCCACAGCCACTGTGTGTGGCAGGAGCTGCTGGACTCAGACCAGAAACTGGCAGAGAACAAACAGTCGCAGGGCCAGCAGAAAACAAGGTTTCCAGGGCCTCCAAAACAGGCTCTGGACCCTCACTTGGCACCCAGGAGCGTGGAGCCGGGAGGGGTGCCTTTCCTCGCCTGCCTCCCCCTCGTCCAGGGCTCTCCATGGATCCAGGCAGCATGGGATGCCAGGAGGGGACAGCTCTCCAGGCTCCAGAGCCGCCTCCCCAGGCAGCGTGGCAGGGAACTGGGCAAGGGCTGGGCAGGATGGACAGGGGTCCCTCGTGCTGGGCTGGAGGCTGCTGGAGGCGTGCGGTGCCTGGTAAGGCCTGGGCATGGCACCGCCAGCAAGCGATGCCTGGCTGGGGACACTGGCAGGGCTGGGGACACTGGCAGGGCTAGGGATGCGGCTGGCGAAGCCGGCAGTGTGCTACCACCTGCTGGAAGCTGGGAAGGAGAGAGCCCCACAAGGGGAAGGGGCTGGCGCCAGGACCCCGGGATCCTGGGGCACGCGCTGAGCCCCCGCCACAGCCCCTCTGGGACAGGAGAGCTGCACACATCTCTTCTCCAGCTGGTTAGTTAATTTCATGAAACTTGCTGGAGCCAATGTCAGAGACTCTTACCCCTCTGTCCAGGAAAACTGAACTGGGCAGTGTTCGTTGTCAGCACGTTTGGAGACAGACAGAGGTTGGTCAGCGAGATCCCCAAGGCCCTGGGAGAGCAAGGAGGCCATGTCCCCCTGCAGTTGCTCTTCTGTGGCTTCCAAACCTTCCCAAAACACCTCAGCCTCCCCACCATCACACGGTCTGAAGAAGCAGTGCTGAGAGGCAAGTTGCTCTCCCTTTCAGCCTGACGTTAACTCTGGAGCCTACAGACTGCTACTCTAAACACACTAGCAGCTGCCAGCGGTTTCAGCACGTGTGCCGCTATCTACCTGCTTCATTTCACCATCGCCCAGCCCCAGCCTCCTGCGGGCCCCTCCTCCCTCGCTCTCCTCTCACCCCTAGCCCAGTGAGGACCAGTCTGGGGCAGAGCCGCACTGGGGGTGCAGAGCACACAGAAAGAAATCCAGTTTCAGATGGGAGCACTCCCTGGTGCTCTGACTGCATTATTAACATCCATACTTAATAAAGGCCTCATATTTATTTTGTTTTTTGCTTCAAGAACACTGCTGTGCGGCTCCCAGCTGGCCTCCCCCCACGGGTTCCTGCCCTCATGCTGGGCAGCCGTGGGGCACTGCCCCACAGTGGGACCGTCTCAAGGAGGGTCCCCGAGACCCCATGCAGCGGCCCTGCAGCCCAGGGCAGGGGGGAGTAAAGCCCCCCGCACCCCACGGCCGTCGGCACCACACACCAGCCTCAACCAATGCAGTTAAACCCCTAAAATAAATACCCCACCAGCCCTTCAGGAACCTCACAGCAGCATCGGGGGGCCAGGGGGCCAGGGCAGAGCCAGCAGCAGCCGGTGAAAAGCGTGGGCTCATTCTCCACAGCAAAAGAAGTAAGTCTGGGCTCTCGCTGCCTTTTCCTGCCTCTGCTATTGAGGGAACAGCGCAATTATCTTTGCAGATGCATTACTACATGACAAAAAATAGCAGCTGAGATGGAAGCGCTGCATCCCTGTAGGTATTCAACTATCAATGGAAAATTACACATTCATTACTGGGCTTTATTTAGGGGCTTATTTTATTCATTGACTCAGCCAGCACCCAGCAGCCCCGTCCTGGGAGGGGCCGTCCCCAGCAAGGGGCAGAGGGTGCCAGGGTGACCCTGCTCCCCGAGGTGGGTGCCGACGGCGCAGTGGCAGCACTGGGCACATGGGCAGAGCTGGGCAGGCCGCCAGCACCCACCTGGGACAGGCCGGGTGGAGGGGACCTGGCAGGACCCTGGAGCCAGCCAGTGCCAGGGCTGGTGCCGGACCCGCCGGGAGGCTGGTGCTGCCCACCCAGTGCACGTGCCCTGCAGTTCATAGCCTGGCCGCGCTGCCAGCTCAGAAAGCCTCCCACTGCCAGGCTCCAGCAGCATTGGAGCAGCCTTCTCCTGTCTCCACCGATTCCAGCCAAGCACCTTTTCTAGCTGCCGGCAGCACTGCACAGCCAGGAGCTGCAGCCAGGCCCACTGCAGGGCTCTTGCTCCGCCGGCCGCCATGTTCATTAACGGGAGATGAATGGCAGCTCAGCTCCGGGCTGCTCAGTGCTAGCCCGGCTGTGACAAGAGCCAGACGAGGCCTCACCAGGGGGCTCTGAGGCGAGCGGCCACATCCTGCCCCCGGCCAGAGGTGGGACGTGAGCCCGCAGGCAGTGGGAGCAGGCAGGGCGGGGAGATGCTGGGTGCAGGGAAGAGATGCCGTGCAGGACCAGTGCCCCAGGGCCAAGCCCTGGGTGCTGCAGCCCCCTCCCAGAGCTGGGGGGACAGGGGAGGTGACCCACGTGCAGAAGGGGACAGGGTGACCCAGGGAGGCTTGAGGGGCAGAGCCAAGTGTGACCGGCCAGGACGGGACCGGCTGCCACTGCCAACATGGGACTGTTCAGGACCTGGTGGTGATGGAGATGCCGTCCCAGCACCCTCTGCATCCCTGGCCCCATCAAACCCCCACACGCAGGAGCCGGCGGCAGCAGCTCCATCCCAGCACCGTGCCCGGGGACGGCACAAACAACTGGGGCACCTTGGTCATTTCCATGTTTAATTAGAAATGTATTCCAAACCACGAACCCACGCCAAGCGCCAGACACGCTGGAGAAGGGGCCGTGTATGCTGTAAAAACCTGCCAAAGCCCCGAGCCGGCCGGGGGTGGTCCCTGGAGCCTGTGGGACACCTCTCCTCCCGGCAGCCCCAGCCTTGTGAGCCAGTGCCCGTAGCTCACCCCTGCCCCGCGACTTCC